TATATTAATTGGTCCATATTTATACTACATTGATTGTCGCAAATTGTCTTTTATTGTATTTCCTAATCAGGATCCAATCAGGGTTCAAATAGTCGATTGAGTGTTTTTATTTTAATCTAAAACAGCGAAGTCTCAGCTGCTTTTGAAGATTTACTTATTTTTTATTATGAAGTCAGATATATAGAGGAGAGTAAGAGGAAGATCCTCCATCCGATGATTCACTCCCCAAGCAGCCACAATGACCAGAGCTGAGCAGATATGAAGCCAGGAGCCAAGAGCTTCCTCCGGGTTTCCCACATGGGTGCAGGATCCCAAGGCCTTGGGCCATCCTTGATTGCTTTCCCAGGCCACAAGCAGGGAGCTGGATGGGAAGCAGGGCTGCCAGGATTAGAACTGGCGCCCATATGGGATCTCAGTGCGTTCAAGGCAAGGACCCTAGCTGCTAGGCCACCGCGCTGGGCCCAAGTCTCAGCTTTTTAAATGACATTTTTTTTGAAACAACCAGACCAGTTTATCTTCTGAATTATTCCGTGTTCTTTTCTGATTGCTCTCTTCCTGTATTTTTGTAATTTCTCCACTGAATTTCATAACTCGGCCATTAGGTCTACGGTTTATTACATTCAGGTTACATATTTTTGTTAGGACCACTTTCTGTTTCCACCAGGTATCTTCCAATTCATATGCTCTTTTTTTTTTAAAAGATTTACTTAGAGTCATGTTTTTCTATTTTTTTTTTAAAGAAAAAGGTTCTTTTTTATTTAGATTTTTTAAATTGAAAAGTCACACATATAAATAGTGAGAAGGAGATACAGAGAGAAAGATCTTCCATCTGCTTGTTCATTGCTCATGTGTCTACAATGGCTGAAACTGAGCTGATCTGAAGCCAAGAGCTTCTGGGTACAGGGTCCCAAGGCCCCAGGCCGTCCTCTACTGCTTTCCCAGGCCACAGGCAGGGAGCTGGATTGGAACTGGAGCAGCCAGGACACGAATTCGTGTTCATATGGGATCCTGGTGGATGCGCTGCAAGGATTTAGCCACTAGGCTATGGTGCTGGGCCCCATATGCTCTTACACAATCATCTTGGCATTCATCTCACTGACAATGGGACCTGGCACCTAGAAGTTGGGCAAGCTTTTTTGTTACTATTTGAGCCAGCTGACTATGATCAAAATGACACAGTGTGACTCAGGCTAGATCTTGAAAGGTGATACAGATTCCGCTTTGTTCCTGGAGTCTTCAGTCACCAGCCACTCTGTTAGCAGTCTGAAGTGTCCCGAGGCGGCCATCCTGCATGGAAGCCCCTCGTAGTCTGTGCAGAGTCCACTGGGAGAAGCCCTGAGCTTTCAGAGAAAGATGTCCAGGCAGACCCTGGGGGGTTCAGGCTGTGTCATTGCACTCCCAGTGTCTTGACTGCAACTGGAGTCACAGCCACCAGCTGGGCCCCTCCTGAATTCCTGACCCGCAGAAGCCAGAAGTTTTAAGGCTTGAAATACTGTGTCTGAGTTCTCTCCGCATGCCCGTTTGCTTGCTGTACTTTGCCTGGAGACTGTAGATAGCACCCCTTCCTGCTCCTTTCACCTGCCTTGGTTAAGGGACTCGATTTCAAATCTTCATGAAATGTCACAGCTTAGTGGATGACTCACAACAAAATCCTGCTTCAGCGTTTCCATTGGCTGGAGATATTGGGCATTATAAGCTACAAATTGAGTATCTACTGTTGATTTCATTTTCTTCAAGCACTGTTCGTAGAGGAAGACAAAACACTGAATCAGGGACCTCTGCTAATTGAGCTCACACTGACACACCGGTTTCTGAAACTCGCAACACCCTTCCTTGGCTATGTTCAGCAACCTCCAAGTCCTCCCAAATACCACACTCCAGTCCTGTGGGTCTACTGTTTTCTCATCTCCCTATTTTCACATAAAAATAGTTTCGAGAATCTGTAAATTCCATTGGTAGAATTCTTCAGTTGGCTTTGAGTTTGGTCTTGATTGATCGGTGCTGTGAGAAACATTTCTTTGAGCACATGGAACAGTGTGAGGTCTTGGTCACTACCTGGGGCCCGACCTGCTGTCCTCAGCGTCCACACCAGCCTGGACTGTGCAAGCAGCCATGCACTGGGCTGTCTCATCAGCAGGGGCCACTGATGCTGCTGATCCCATCATCTTTATGCTACATGCCCACGGCTGAAGGAGCTGTGTGACAGCAACTCACAGGCCACTGCTATGATTGATAAGTATCTTTCCTCTCAGCCTTTCCCCCCCCTCCTTTCTGATATAAAAGAGGCGGTAGAGCTAATATTAACTGCTCAACTTTGAAATTCCTGCTTCAGTTTTGGAAAGCTAAAAATATTTAGAGATAAAAGTATAAAGGACAAAACCAAGCTATTCGTATTTCTATCATCTAGACTTAGCTCCTGTTAATTCCTTGATGGATTTATTTTTAAAAACTAAAATTTTTTAAGTTAAACATTTGAGGTACATGTCAGCAAATAAGATTGTTTATGTTTACTAAAAGTATCCAAACAGAATGAATCTTTTTCTTAAAGATTTATTCATTTTTATTGGAAAGTCAGATATATAAAGAGGAGAAGAGACAGAGAAAATCTTCCATCCGATGATTCACTCCTCAAATGACCGCAACGGTCAGAGCTGAGCCGATCCGAAGCCAGGAGCCTGGAGCCTCCCACGTGGCCTCCCACGCTGATGCAGGGTCCCAAGGCTTTGGGCCGTCCTCGACTGCTTTCCCAGGCCACAGGCAGGGAGCTGGAAGGGAAGCTGGAAGGGAAGCGGGGCTGCCGGGATTAGAACCGGCGCCCATATGGGATCCCGGCACATGCGAGGTGAGGACTTGAGCCGCTAGGAAGATCTTCTCTGTCCCTCCTCTCTGTATATCTGACTTAGCAATAAAAATCTAATAAATCTTTAAAAAAAAGCACAGATTCAAATTTGGAATTGCATTAATTCTACAAAACCAGATTTGGTGGCACTGATTATTTTTCTAATTAATGTCTTAAATTCATGAACAGGGATATCCCTTTATTTTTGTTTTTCGTTTCCTTTGTTAATATCCCCTTTAGAAGTCGCTCATTTTCAAATAGAAGATGTTTGTATTTGATGTTCTCTAATGCTATCACACTTGTTTCATAATTTCAATTATTGCGAAACAATAAATTTACTTTTTGACCTTACATCTTACTTCCTAACCTTGCTAAAATCATATGATTTCTAACACTTTCTATCAATTTTCTACATGTAGAATGTGGCATCTGTGAATGAAAATTGTCTTACTTTCTAATCTTAAATTTTTCTTTTTCTTTCCTGGCTAGAATCTTCTATACTGAGGATTGGTGACAGTGGTTATATTTTAATCTTTTTATGTCTCTGGGGACTTTAAAAATAATTACTTACTCCAAATTTCCTGCAGTGCCAGAAATTTTTTATAATAAAACAAACTTCAGTATTAGTTATTTTAAGTTTCACAAGTAAACAATGTGGTGCGTCAGAATAAGGATAGAATTCCCTTATTTTTTAAGTTTTTAAAAAAACATTCTGAAAAGCTTAGAACATGCTTGAAACTTATGGTAATAGCAGCATTTAATGCTAAAGAAATCTATAGCATGGTAGGATTGTGAGTCCAGGGATTCTCCCTGAAAAATAACTGCCCCATCTATCAGCCAAGGCTGAATGGAAACACCACGTGATGTGGACCAGCCAAGAACTCACAACGGAGCAAGAGGACCTCAAAGGTGAAGGGCTAGCGGTAGAGCTGGCAGCTGTCAGAGTTCACGAGCTGGAGGCTGGATCAGGGCCACATGGCTTCATCTGCAGCAGCCACCCAGTTGGGCAGGAGTGCCTCAGCTGCTTCACCACGGAACTGGATAAACCATCTCTCGTTCTAATCATCATGTACACTCACCCTGCATAGTTGATAGTGAACTGCTGAATCGTGATCTACTGACACGCCTTCCGATTAGCATCTTACATTTCTTACGCTGCGACCTGCTCTCCAACATGCAGAGTGCAGCTCCTGGTCTACCTGTGGGTGGACTACAAAAGACTACTCCAGATGTGACAATGGTCAAGAGCCAGAAAACAGCATGCCGTAGAGATTCCTTTGTATATCTGTCCATAAAAAATAGTTAAGAGGGCCCAGCACTGTAGCCTTAACGGCTAAAGTCCTTGCCTTGTATGCATCAGGATCCCATATGGGTGGCGGTTCTAATCCCGACAGCCCCGCTTCCCATCAAGCTCCCTTCCTGTGGCCTGGGACAGCAGTGGAGGACAGCCCAAAGCTTGGGACCCTGCACCTGCGTGGGAGACCTGGAAGGAGATCTGGAAGAGGCTCTGAGGCTTGGCTTTAGCTCAGCTCAGCTCCAGCCTCCAGCCGTTGCTGTCACTTGGGTAGTTAATCGTTAGATGGAACATCTTCCTGTCTCTCCTCCTCTCTGTATATCTGACTTTCCAATAAAAATAAATCTTAAAAAAAAAAGAAGAGCCTATAAAAAAATTCTCTTTTAAAGCATAAACGTTTAAATTCTGTAGTTGTAGATTCAGAAATGTAAAAAATAGAGTTATGGTCATAAGTGATAATGGATTGTCAAAGCATACATGATAATTAAATGTGATAAAGTTCCCACATATCATTACTGATATGCTCACACGCTATTTGGTCAAGTATTTGATCAATTCTTAAACTGCCTACTTTCTTAAATTTTGGATGCATAGAACATTAACTCAATTAAGCTAATTACTTAATTATGTGTTATCAATATTTTACAGTACCATTCTGAGGCCAATAAACAGTGTGGTACGTACATCAGCTACAAAGAATTCATCACTGGTCTGCCAAATTCACTGCCAATCTTTACAAAAAGTTGCTGAAAAAACACAACTGTCATGTGTACACTCTTAGTTAATAATTTTTAGTGATTTTGTATCCAATCAATGTAAATATTCTCTTCTATACACATGTCCCAAAATGAAGAAACACACAGAGAATATCATCAATGGTAGATTTTATCAATGCACTTCACATAAGAACAGTATTTTCAGGCCAAGGGTTTCCGTATCAATAAAGCAACCTCTTCCCAAGTCCCAAGGCAACCATATAACGTAGAATGTACAATGTGCAAATATACTTAAGATGCAAGTCACTCGAGAGCATGTTGAAGGTAGAATATTGAACGAAGGACATCTACCTCACTCCTGTACATGGACAGTCAATACAGACCTACAAGGCACAACTCAGCGTTGGCGTGAACGTGTGCAATGCACATCCTCAGATTACTCATGTGAAGAGTCACATAATGCCATGTTTGCCATTTAATGGAGATACCAGGTCATTTTTTCTTAAACTATTACACTGATAACACATATTTGCCCAGGACAAACTGTTCCCTAAACTTAAAGGTGACAGACAAGACTCTTACTATTCTACATTAAAAAAATTATGTAGGTATATATATATTTATATATGTACACATACCCCCCCCATTACACATAAGAAACTTCCCATAATCCAAAAGGAGAACATTTCTCTTGAGCAAAGGTTTCTGTTACAATATTTCACAACAATCATTTAAAATTTCTTCTTTATTTACTAGCTGTTTGGTCAGAATTGCTACAAAAAGACATGGTAAAGAAGTGCTAATTTAGAAAGTGTTTCTCTTGAGATTGCACAGTGAAAGGTATCATTTAAATATAAAAGCTTGTTGCCTTGAAAGAAATTATGTGACTCTACACAGAGAGAAACCATTTTCCTACTAACACTTTACCAGAGCTCTGGCTGCAGCACTCGGTGCCCACTCGGCCTCCGACGCACTCGGTGCCCACTGCTGCTCAGCTGACCATCCCTGAGAGCCAAGGTTCCTACCACTTTAGACTTTTTATAAGGTAAATAAATTTTACACTGATGATATAAATGATGTTTAGGAGGAAAAGTACAATACACAACACAAAGTAACACTGCAGAGAGATGAACACTTCTCCCTGCAGTAGGAGTTTTTAGTGGAAATAATCTGAAAGCCATCCAGGAAAGGCAAAAATACCCAGGAAAGAAAGAGTACACAGGGGAAATGGCTTCACTGCCACCTTTGGTTTAGCCTTCTTGGCCAAAGTCTTCTGTAAACTTCTTTAACTTCAGTAAGTCTTGTTCATTGACCGTGGGCTTGGTACTTGACAGTGACCGCAACATGTCCGACTGTCAGGGAAAAGGGCGGAAGCACAGGTTAGTAACAGATTTTAAAAATTATAACTACTGCTTTATTATTACTGTTACTGTCACCTAGGATTAAACTTAAGCATCTGCAGTGTGCCCTAAGCTACCATCAGTTTCCTTGTGATTATCCTAAAGGAGCTCTTTGTATAGAAGCTCAGAATCTCTTCCCTTGTACTAACCAAAACCATTCTCCCCATTACCCAGCAATTCCCAGAGCTGAAGTTCAGTGTCTCAAAGAATATTCATGATCTAATTTCTGGCTTTACTGTAGTTTTCCTTAAACAAACAAGTCATCAGTTTTCCATGTAAGTGCAATTAAAAACAGCTGGTCATTCATTTACACTTAAGTGAAGCAAATACAATTTTACTGAAGCCAACTAACCTCAGAATTTAAAAATAGCTAACATTAAGACTGTGACGGTAAGAAAAATATGTTAACATCACAGACTCATTAGAAAACTGACTTACAGGCATAGGCTATCTTCTGTATATCGGAATGGAAAAATGACAAAATGGGTAGAATATAAAAACTTGTGGAGCCAGCCTGATCCCTCAACTGGCTAATCCTTCACCTGCAAGCACCAATATCCGATTTGGGTGCTGGTTCCCGTCTTGGATGCTGCACTTCCCATCCAGTTCTCTGTTCATGGCCTGGGAGAGCAGCAGAGGATGGACCAAAGCCTTGGGACTCTGCACCTGTGTGGGAGACCCTGGGGAGGCTCTTGGCTTTGGGTCGGCTCAGCACTGGCTGCTGCAGCCGACTGGGGAGAGAACCACCAGATTGAAGATCTTTGTCTCTGTGAATCTGCTTTTCCAGTATAATTCTTGAAAACAAAAAAATCTTGTAAAAATACTTCATCAAGGATTAAAACCTTTTAAAAGGTTTTCTGAATAACTTGATGGAGAAATATTGTTAATTAATACATAAATATATGTGTATGTCTAAATATCAGATAAGCATTATGTTAATTAACACATACATATACATCTTAGTCTAGATATTGGATAGAAGTTATTTCTAGAAGCTACTATTAAACTAGCCATTGAGATGTCTGAAAATCTGCAACTGAAGCAAGACATTTTTAAATTTCAGTGTTCACAATGAAGACATGGATCTATCTTTTCAATCACCCCAAGTTCCCTAAAATAGTATCTTATTAAGTCTTAGAAACTATTTAATTCTCCCAATATAAACTCTAACAATGTAACTTCTATAAAAATGTTCCAAATAGTTAAAACTCTTAATTGCATTTTTAAGACTTCCATAGAATGTCAACAGAAAAACATTATTTATGAATTTTATATAATACAAAAACATTCCTGGTTCTTGTGAAAAATCCAAGATGGTGTGAAAACTTTTTCGACAGTCCTTACTTTTATGTTATTTAAAGAAATGTTTATTTTCATCTACTTGAAAGGCAGAGTGGCAGAGGGTGAGTAGAGTGGGAGAGACAGGCCAGAGTAAGAAGTCCCGAGGTCCCCTCAGGAGTCGCATGTGAGCGGCAGGGCTCCCAGCACTGGGGCCTCCTTTGAAACAGGGAGGGAGCTGGACTGAATGAGAAGATGCTGGGACGTGACCAAGTATGGGACGTGTGTGTGGGCGTCCTGAAAGGTGACTGCACTGGCTGTACCAAACACCTGGCTCTCTTTCTAACACGCCTGACCCCTCTTTCTAGTTAAGTCTTGACAACAAAATAAGAAATCTATCTGAGCATTTTAAAAGTGATACTCTAGCTGTAAGACCTATAATGACAGGAATTCATTTTTTATTCAATAAGTTTTAGTTTCCTTACAGCCCAAGAAAATATTCAAAAGATTATTTTCATTTCAGGCTCAATTACTATTTACAGTTTTTAAAGTGACCTGACAGTAGTAAGCATGCTGGATAATACTAACATATTCTGGAAAATTTCACATCACTAAAAAATTTTATCTTACACATATCAGCGTATAAAGTTTTAAAACACTTTTTAAGAACAAGTAGATTTCAAACCATGGAAACAACTGGCTCCAGAAGTTTATCCCCAGGCACATCCATCCATGTCATTTCCATGGCACCAGGATCTCCTGGAGAGCAGGGTGTCAGCAGATCTTCAACAATGTGTCCAGGATCCGCTCTAGAAGGACCACGCACCTGGAATAAACAGCGAAACGGAAATCTCTAGCTGATCAAATTAAACACTAAAATTTAGCGCCTGGCACAATGAATGGCTCAGTGGCTAAATCCTCGCCTTGCACACGCCCGATCTCATGTGAGTGCCAGTCTGTATCCGGCTGCTCCTCTTCCCATCCAGCTTCCTGCCTGTGGCCTGGGAAAGCAGTAGAAGATGGTTAAAAGCCTTAAGCCCAGGTTAGCTCCGCCCATAGCAGCCACTTGGGGAATGAACCTGTAGGTGGAAGATCTTTCTCTCTGTATCTCCTTTTCTCTGTAGATCTGCCTTTCCAGTATAAATAAATAAATCTTTAAAAACAAAAACACTAAAATTTAGACCATTACCAGGATAATGGAGAACATATTAATATGTTTACTCCGGATTACAATGTCTACTATTGGAAAAAAAGAATACATAGCAAATACTTATCACTGAGATTTTTGTTTTTACTTTTTCTTAATTTTTTATATTTTGAAATTTAGTATAATAAATTACTTAATTACAGGGAGAAAATAAGTGAAAAAGAGTAAGAAGAGCTAGTGACTGAGTTTTCCTTTTTTCCTGTAGTGTTTGTTTAGTGGTAGTAATCTTAGAAATCAAAACAGACACGTTAACCAACTCTCAGAGCAGGTGTTTGGCCTAGTCACTGAGATGCCAGTTAAGACACAAACACTTCCCTCGTTAGAGCATCTGGGTTCGGGACCCAATTCTGGCTCCTAATATCATCTTCCTGCTAATGTGGACCCTAGGAAGCAGCCATGACGGATCAAGCGACTGGATTTCTGTCTCTTGGGTAGAACTGGACGCAGATCTGTTTCTGGCTTCATCTGAGGATTGAAGCAGCAGATGGGAATGCTTTGTCTCTCTACTTCTCCAATAAATTAAAATTTAACAAAATTATAAAAACCATGAGCATTTTTATAAATTGTTCTCTTTTCTTTTTTTCTCCCCTTCTATTTTATTTTTAATTTTATGATACAATCCCATATGCTCTGGTATTTCCCTTATCCTCTTCCCAAATCCCCTCCCCCTGACTTCCCCCTATAGTCCTTCATAAGCAGTCATAAGTCTATCAATTTGCTATTCAAGTGTGTCCTGACATAGCCGGTCCAGACAGTGGCAGACAGTCCAGCATCCTGTTGTCAAGATACACCCGACAGTCTCACTGGGAGTCCTTTGACCTGGAAGCAGAGACGCATACTGCACTGCATCTTCACATCAGGATATGCAAGTCTCTAGTATGCCATTACTACACATCCCCTTTAGCGGAAGTCATAAAACAAAATCAACAACAACCGTGGACAGAATGACCAATGTGTCAATGAAGAAATAAAACAGAATATAAAAAACCTTTTTGGAGAAAATGATGCTACTGTATGGTCAAAGAATCAATGAAGAATTTAATAAGATAAAAGAAAATGATTTTAAAGAAATGAAAGAACAAAAATATCAAAACCAAAATGTGAAAACATCAAAAACAAAAATTGGATTGCAGCAAAAACGGTATTGAAAGGGCTACTGATCTTACATGTTGCATAGCTGAGAAACTAGTGATATTTAAAATTTTCGGTTTGAAGCTACTGAATCATTTAGTCTTTTACAACCAAAATATTTTCATATTTTTATGATGTGTAACTTAAAGAAGTTTTTGGTCTGCCGTGGTAGTCTAGTGGCTAAAATCCTCACTTTAAGCATGCCTGGATCCCCTGTGGGATTCAGTTCGTATCTCGGCTGCTCCACTTCCCTTCCAGCTCCCTGCTTGTGGCCTGAGAAAGCAGTAGAGAATGACCAAAACCCTTGGGACCCTGCACCTGTGTGGGAGACCCAGAAGAGGCTGCTGTTTCTGGCTTTGGATCAGTTTAGCTCCAACCACTGTGGCTACTTGGGGAGTGAACTAGCTGATGGAAGATGTTTCTATAAATCTGCCTTTGCAATAAAAATAAAGAAATATATTTTTTTAAAGTTTTAACTTTTGAAGTTTTATCTATGTATAGTGTCTTCATAATTTGCATTTTCAATGAATTTTTGAAGACTCCTTTTATACTTAGGACTTTAGAATTCTTTCAATTTTTTTATATTTATTTATTTTTATTGCAAAGTCAGATATACAGAGAGGAGGAGAGACAAAGAGGAAGATCTGTCGTCTGATGATTCACTCCCCAAGTGACCACAATAGCCAGAGCTGAGCCAATCCAAAGCCAGGAGCCAGGAGCTTCTTCCCGATCTCCCATGCAGGTGCAGGGTCCCAAGATTTGGGACACACTCAACTGCTTTCCCAGGCCACTAAGCAGGGAGCTGGATGGGAAGCAGCATGTTCAAGGTGAGGACTTTAGCCTCTAGGTTACCACACCGGGCCTGGGACTTCAGAATTTTTCTGCACCAAAATAAACTTACCTTTTAATTCCAGTTTCATGAACTTTTTTTAGTACCCTTTATTTCTATAATGTAAATCTAGTCATTACACAACATTGAAACGTTTTGCAAATTCTTTGAAAACAAACCAGTGATGATGTTAGAAAGCTAATTTAAAAAATTTAAGGATAGGTAAAAATTCCTTACCTTTTTGAAATGAGTAGCTGACTGTACTTTTCTAACAGGCTGCATAAGTGCATCACGTACAATGATACTTATATCTGCCCCTGAGTAACCATCTGTTTTCTTCCCAAGGTCTCGGAAATCAGCTTCTGTGAGACTGTTCTGAGTCGTTCCCAAGTGCAGTTTAAACATTGCAGCTCGGGCATGAGCTTCCGGCAAAGGAATATAAATTCGTTTCTCAAATCTTAAAAGAGAAACAATAGATATAATTTTAATAAAAATTAGGATATTTTCCAAAAGAAATAAGTACATATGCTTAATTACAGCAATTTAAGTTGATTAAATTTAAATAAACCATGTGTGCCAGAGTTAAAAATTTACACCTTGGTTAGCTCTCTAAGGGAAGAATATCAAGGAAGAATTAAAAACCAACAAATAAAATGAAAACAGCCAGCCTCGCAGTTTGGGTGCTTTCATTTTGCCACGTCTCCTTGGCCTACCCTGGTCATCATGTTCACATGTGACACATTCTCCAGGATTACAGGTTCCCACTGCATCGAACTCAATCAGGGGACCAGGGGATTCAGATTGATGATTAGTAATAAAAAATAGGAGTAAAGATGAAAAAATATTTCTCTGAACTGCAAAAAGTTAAATTATTTCAAAATCTTAAACACACATTAAGCAAACACTACACGGTAATAATTTTGCTTGCCTTTCTAGAATTTCAGAACATGGAGACAGAGAAAGTAACGAGGGGTCACTTAAATGGTTTATGCAGATGCTTTTCTGCCAGACTCCCCCTGATAGTCAGAGAATTCTGTGTCCTTGACTTGGAGGTGGGGTTTCAAAGGATGCCATTTTCTCCTCTCGTGGTACTGGGTGGTACACCATCAAGCATGGGCATAAAAGCGGCAAACACGGAAATGGTCGTTTTTTCCATGCAAAGTGAAGGGGATGGGGTCCTGGGAAGCAGTGGAAATCTGTACTATTCCTACAGCTGAAAGTTCATGTTCAGCTTAAAAAATTAGAGTAACAACTTCTTTAACTAGAAAAATGTACCTTGGCTCCCTTACTGTGATTTGTATAATGGTCATTTTGCTAAAATTTTATATGAAGAATTTTCACCAAAATATCAAATCTGTATTGTAACTTTTTGACTCATCAGTGTCCACTATGTTTAATCAAAATTAAAGGCAATTTTAAGAAATGTATTTTCTAATGTGAAAGATTCCAGTATATAGAAACCTTCTGTCTTCAAAATGGCAGGCAAATAAGCAAATGACCAATATTTCTTCCCTAAGACAAAGCATAACTAAGTTAGGGTACCTTAAAAAATTTTTAAATTAAAAAAAAATTTTTTAAATTATCTGATTGCCTCCTAAACAGATCAAAAGGGAATGATTATTTACTTGTTAAATCTGTAGTTAGAAGTAAGACATTTATGATGCCATCATACCTTCGCCTAATGGCAGAATCCAGAACCCAAGGGATATTTGTGGCTCCCAGAACCAAAATTCCATCATTGTCCACACCAACTCCTGGATTAAAATAGTAATATTTAAATAATATGTAATTCTGATGTTCTTCAAAGTTATCTGTGTGATCCGTGAAGAAATGTGGTGCTTCAGCACTTAACTGCCTCATCTTTAGTTTTTCAAAAAAGGCTATTTTTAACCAACCACTCTATTACTGCAACATGATGCAAATATTCCCAAGTAATCAAATCATCTAGATTCTGGACAAATACTGTGAATATCCTTCTAAAAGGATTTATTTGAAGATTTCATTTGAAGTCAAAATGCTACAGTGTTCCTAGTATAGTGAATATTCATCTCTTTACTATCTATACCATTGAGTCCTACTTGATTATAACAGAAAAAATTATGTAAATATGAAAAGACAATCAGAATACTGAACATGATATAATGAAGCAGTTGGGTAGAATGCAGAAATCCTGCTGAAATTTTTCCCCTTGTATTTAAATGAACAGTTCTACATAAAGAAATCCTTTTAAAAATCAGTTACAGTACCTTGCATTTGAACCAGGAACTCTGTCTTAATTCTACGTGCAGCTTCACTTTCATTTTCACTTCTCGAACCACACAGAGAATCGATTTCATCAATGAATATAATGGAAGGCTTGTTCTCTCTGGCAAGCTGGAATAAGTTCTTCACCAATCTAAAAATAATTTAAAATTCTCAATTTCTTAAAAATATTAGGATTAAAATAAAGCCATATATCAATATTACAAGAACTCTGATGAGCTAAGAAGTTTAATCATGTTTCAGGCATATAAATTAAGAATATATAAATGGATAATTCACTTTACAATTTAACATACAGTTTAAATCTTACAAAAGGTATGAACTAGGAGTTTACATAACAGAGTAATGAATACTGTATTATGTTACTTCTATTACATTTACTAATGATATAAAAATGTCTTACTCTATAGACTGATAAAAAGCTATCTAATAGCTGCCCCACCTCCCCCCATATCCACCTTAAATTGACTTACTACTTACTTTTCACTTTCACCTAGCCACTTAGAAACAAGGTCAGAGGAAGATATTGAAAAAAACGTGGAGTTGTTGGCTTCCGTTGCAACCGCTTTGGCTAAGTAGGACTTTCCCGTTCCAGGTGGCCCAAACAACAGGATTCCCCTCCACGGCGTTCTCTTGCCTAAAATTTCCATTAGAAAAAAAATACGAGAATTCCAAAACTGTTAATTCAGGTATCTTCGAAATCACCCATACTTGAAGTATCAGTAATAATTAGAAAAGTTTAAAATAAAACATTCCAAGAATGTCTCATATGTACTTTATTTCTAGAGATAGCTTTGTCAAAAATGTATTGATATAAATATAAGCCTTCTCACAGAAAGGGCATTTGCTCACTCCTTTATTCTGCTACTATGTGTCAAAGCCACACTATGGACCAGGACACTGATCTCTGCCTTTGCAGGTCTCCGGGACAGTGGAGCAGGAGAGCACAGATCAAGGTGATTTCTAAGTGTCTGCTGTGCACACTGCACAGTACAGGAACACTGCAAGGAAATTACAGCGATAAAGGAAGATTTATGACACCATGTATGAACTTTGGAGGAATAACCCTACTCAAGAGTCTGGAGGATTTGTGACTTTATTGCCTTGACTCCAAAGAGAAGCACAGGGTAGTACTACAGGTGACTCTTACTGGCTGGGTAACGATAAAGGAACTCTATGTTTATTCCTAGTTTTGCGAAAATAGAACAAGAGAACAGATCATTCTAAACCAGGCAGAGTTACAGCTGTAATAAATACACACTTGAAAACTGCTGGGTACAATCTGTGACTGGGTGAAGTGTCTTTTCAAAAGAATGCTATTCAAGAGGTGGTGGGGTCTTTAGCCCAGTGGTTAAAATGCCCACATCCCATGTCAGAGTCCCTGGGTTCAAATCCTGGCTCAGGCTCCTGATTTCAGCTTCCTGCTGGTGCAGACTCTGGGAGGCAGTGGTTATGGCTCCAGTGACCTACCCCGCATCATTGCAGGCATTTGGGAAGCAAATCAGCAGATGGCGGAATACGTACCTCCCAAATAAAGAAAATGAAATTTTATTTTATTTTTTTACAGGTTATTTTATGTATGTGTGTATATATATACACACACATACATAAAGATTTATTTATTTTATTGAAAGGCATATGTACAGAGAGGAGGAGAGACAGACAGGAAGATCTTCCGTCCGATGATTCACTCCCCAAGTGACCACAACGGCCAGTGCTGTGTCCTTCTGAAGCCAGGATCCAGGAACTTCTTGCTGGGTCTCCCACGCTGATGCAGGGTCCCAAAGCTTTGGGCTGTCCTTGACTGCTTTCCTGGGCCACAAGCAGGGAGCTGGATGGGAAGTGTGGCTGCCGGGATTAGAACCGGCGCCCATATGGGATCCCGGGCGCATTCAAGGTGAGGACCTTAACCATTACGCTATCTTGCTGGGCCCAGAAAATGAAATTTTAAAAATTGGAAAAAGAATATGTGGATGGCTAATAGCAAAACTAAACTCAAGTTATTTTTATAATTCAAGAGATTCAACTTTAATTTAAAATTCTATTTCTTATTTTATTTATTTGAAAGGGAGATTTACATTTTGATCTTTATAATAAATGCATGGATTTTAAAAAATGATTTATTTATTTGACATGTCAACTGACAAGAGAGAAAGAGATTTGCATCTTGGTTATGCGCCAGATGATTACAATGGCCAGGGCTGGGCAAAGCTGAAACCAGGCCCCATTACTCATCTGGGTCCAAGAGCTTGGGCAGTCTTGTGCTGCTTTCCCAAGTGTCTTAGCAGCGAGCCGGACTGGAGATGCAGGTGCCATGGGTGGTGGCTTGACAACTGTACCACAATGCTGCTCCAGTGAGGACATCTTAATAAGTCATAATACACATCTAAATTCATCACTGGACATGTACAGTGTATTTTAATGAGTACACAGAATTCTGCGGCATGTCAGAATTACCTGCCTTACTGGTTGACACTTAAGTACTTCTGCAATCTACAGTGGAAATTCAGATATGCACATGCTGTAAAACATCTTGCTGTATAGTTACCATCAGCAGCTTAGAACAGGCAGACATTACAGCAACAATTCAGATGCAGTGACAATAATCCAAGATGCTGTGCGTTAAGTCATTAAATAACGCTAGTAAGAAGTGAGCTCACCTGTGAAGAGATGCGGGAACTTGATGGGCAGAATCACAGCCTCCTTGAGGGCTTCCTTGGCTCCTTCCAGACCAGCGACATCACTCCATTTCACGTTTGGTCGCTCTATAACAATGGCACCTATAAAAAAGGTTTGTCAGCTCTAAATTAAGAAAGTTTATTTCATCAAAGTTAGAACAGTACAAAATAATGATGTTTAAAATAACTCGAAAATTATTAGGCACTACAAATCTGTCTGAAATAGGACAATGAAGCAGTTCTTGGGGTAGACAGTAGTATAGGAACCTTGGGTTGGTGATAATAAAACCCAGGCTAAGCCACTTAAACTATTTCTTCTACCTCATCTGTGAAGTAAAAATAGTACCATTTGCCCAAACTACTTAGATTAGTGGAAAGATGAAATAACGAATACTACAGCACTTGAAAAGCACAGACCATTTTAGCAATAGTTTAAATTTTGCATGCACTGATTCTGGAGTACTAAAAGAACTTTGTAGGAACTGATTCATGAGGTGCTTCAAAAGGTTTGTGGAAAATGGAGCTAAAAGGTAAGTTTGTTTGGGTACCAAAGAATTTTGAAGACACGTAGTTTTTCATAATATACATTTCTCATGAATTTTTAAGAGTCCTCAATACATGTATTTAAATTCATTTTTTGGCATCAAAACTAAACTTTTTTTTTTTTTTAGTTTTCCACACTTTTTGAAGCAGAAGGAGATCTAAAATGCTCCCCTCAAAGCAACAGGAAAACATGCTCAACTTGAACTGATGTCAAGATGGAGGGAAGGAGAGGGGAGAGGAGGAGGGATGGAGAGGGGAGAGCAGGAGGGAAGGAGAAGGGAGAGGAGGAGGGATGGAGAGGGGAGAGCAGGAGGGAAGGAATGGAACAGAAGCAGATGATGGGAAAAGGCTCACCCTTCTAAATTTCTAACTCTTTCCTGAGATGTGCCTTATTTTCTATCTGACTTCTAAATTTTTGTAATTATAATGTATGGCTCCCGTAACTTAGCAACAATACATGAAATGACTGTTTCTGAGTGCAGTATATGCACAAGTCATAGGAGCTGCTCCAGCAAAGCCAACAAGGGTTCTTTGGATGTAACTTGACAGAATGTTCTAGCTATCTGTTATCAAACAATTTTTCCAAGTTTCTAGAACACAGAAATTGCTCAACTGCAACTATATATATATATATTATAAATATGAATTTAGCTGTAACAAAACACCACAACATATGCAATGTGATGACTGATCTAGAGATTAAAGAATTGTCACTTCTTTTCATTAAGATCATATACTATCCTAAAACTACTTACACTCAGCAACTTATTTCCCCTTTTCATGAAATTCTTTGGTTACTGGGCTGAAGTTAAATGAAACCATAACGATTTTTGTACTATGGCAGTCCAAGAGTAGTACAAAATAAGAAAAATGTCAATTCATTTTATATTCCAGCAAGATTAATAATCCCAACTGAGGAAATACATCACATGATAGATTTTTTGTCAATTTTTTCCCATTTAACTAACTTTTTTTCCTTAAAGGTGAAAGCTGACTTTGGAATATTTTGCTGATGAAGACTAAAAGTCAGACTTTTTAAATGGATTGTTAAATTAATGAGGAACAATGAGCCTATCAGAAAATACAAACTGGCTTATAACTTCAAAGATACACATTTAGTCAGTCTTTGATTTTAATATTACACTAACTATAACCCAACCTCAATTAAGTTACTATCAAAATTAGCAAACAGCAAGCTCAAACCATAAACCCATTTTTACTACGAAACTAATGTCATAATCTGAAATAAAATTAAAATATCACTTCACAAAAAAATAGGAAAGGTTTTATAAAAATAAGGTGCATATTATAAAATCCATTCGTGATTTAACAAATTAAAACATAAGTGGAGGGAGAAGAATCTCAGATAAGAAAGGCAAAACTGCTCTTCTACTGTATCCCATGAAATTCTAAAGAAATCTCTACATTCAAATGTTTTACACTAAAAAAAAAAAAAAAAGAAAAGCTTTTCTCTGATCCTCATCAAAACTGATAAGAAACTTACAGAAACTTATTTAAAAATTGGTGGTGAGGCTGGCACTATGAGGCAGTAGGGCTAAGCCTCCACCAGAGGCTCAAGCATCTCAAATGGGCATCAGTTTGTATCCTGGCTGTTTCACTTCCAATCTAGCTCCCTGCTTACGGCATGGAAGGCAGCAGAGGATGGCTCAAGTCCTTGAAACCCGCATGGCAGAGCCAGAGGAAGCTCCTGGCTCCTGGCTCCTGGCTTCGGATCAGCTCAGATTCAGCCATTGTGGCCATTTGAAGAGTGAATCAGTGGATAGAAGATCTCTTTCTGTTTCTCCAACTCTGCATTTCAAATAATTTTTTTTAAAAAAGGTGTGTGTGTGTGTGTGTGTGTGTGTGTGTGTGTGTGTGAGAGAGAGAGAGAGACAGAAAGAGAGAGAGAGGATTCCATTTCAGCTGTGACACGGCAATACACAGAGATTTCTACCCTTGAACTATACCCAACTTTGAAATTTGTGGCATATACAACACTGAATCCTCATCAACCACACTGTTTTTAAGATATCCATACAGTATTTTCCTACACATTCCAGGGAAGTAGAATAGATAAACTACTACCAACTTGAGAAAACTAGTGAGACCAAGTTAGAGGTCTGACTCAGCTAAGATGTGGTCAGTGATCAAGACTGCACTTCTTAACAGAATCTTTCCCGGTTTCCCATGCTACTTGGTAATATTCAAATGATCAGATACACACCACATACACACTCTCAATAACTGGGCATAAATTTTAATCTGAAAAAGCATTAGCTACAAAATAAAAGAAGCTCTGAAATGGAAAAGAACTGAATCTTAGCCATGAAGAAGCCAGAATGCCTCCCCTCCCCTCTTCGTCCCTTCCTGGTCTCTGCTGTTTCCAGAAAACACCCAGGTGCAGGTGCAGATCAGTGTAGCATAGTGGTCACGCTGCTGCCTACACCCGTAGGCCATACCAGCAGGCCTGGGAACAAGACTTATCTATACCTGTTTATTTAAATTTCTAAAAAATTTATTTATTTTTATTAGAAAGGCAAATTTACAGAGAAGAGGAGACAGATAAGTTGGTTGCCTCCACAAGTGGTTGCAAGGGTTGAGCCGATCCAAAGCCAGGAACCAGGAGCTTCCTCTGGGTCTCCCACACAGGTGCAGGGTCCCAAACACTCGGGCCATCTTCTGCTGCTTTCCCAGGCCACAAGCAGGGAGCTGGATGGGAAGCGGAGCAGTTGGGACACAAACCAGAGCCATACTGGGTGTTGGTGCTTGAAGGTGGAGGATTAGCCTTTGAGCCACTGCCATTAGGCCCAAAACAAATGCATTTTTAAAATTGTGTGTATCTATTTGAGACAGAGTGACAGGGAAAAAGACATACACACACAGAGTTATTTTCCATCCACTCTTTCACTCTCCAAATGGCTGCAATCCTGAGGGTTAGCCAACCCAATTCCAGGAGCCAGCAACTCCTTCCAGGTCTCTCACATGGGGGGGCAGGGAGGGACCCAAGTACTTAGTACCTACTGCTGCCTTCCCAGGCACATCAAATGCATCAGCAGCTCAGAGCAGCAGGGGCGAGAACCAGCACTTCACTTAGGACATCAGAACTGCAAGTGGTGACTTACACTTGCTGTGCTGTGCCAGCCCCAAACTGATGCTTTTATATACGTAGCCACCAGTTTACTGAATCCCATGAATGTGTCAGATATAACACGGGGTAGTTTTCACACCACTTTAAATCTTGTACTAGCCCTGAAAGGAAGTTTCCATTTCAAGGATAGGAAGTCAGATTCTGGGAGGTCAGGGCTGTTGCCCGTGATGACAAAGCTTTTAATGGCAGATTGTGGTGTGGAACTCAGAGACTGGAATGGAGTCAAAACCTTCACCCTCTCCATATGGCACTTGTATACAAGTGCCTCTAAAAATGTGGAAGGTCAAAGAAGAACGAGTTCAATGGCAATGTAAAGAGATAAACATAAATGAAAGCACCAAGAAGCAGGTGAGGGAGAGCAGGTGGCAAACACGAATCAACTATCAGCCCAGCACCAGCAATAAGGACCAAGTGTAATTTCTAATCTATTCTGCTTGCTTGTCTGACAGTAAATTTTAGTCCATCAGATTCTGTAGATAGCTCAGAGTATAAATGATACGTTCTCTACAAGGGGACAAGTAGAATGAGACACAGGAAGCTAAATAACAGCCTTTTAAAGGCAGAAATAAGCCCAACTGAACTATTACAGATCTCAGAGTGCTAGCTCTGAGCACGCTCTAAAGAAAGCCAGCATGACTCCAGAACCAAAAGTCTTGAATTCATTTAAATGTGGGGGGACGGGGAAGATGCTACAAATAGACAATTCACTAAAGATTGTTTTCAAAAACAAGATAATAAGTTTTAAAAAAATGAAATCTAAAGCAACCTTGAAGCTGATTCTGTAGTTTCTTTTTTTCAGGATCGTCAGATTCTCCTTCCCCATCACTGTCATTCCTAATAGAAAGAATTTAATATGTTCAAACGATCACTCATCGCTACCAAATAAGGCAAAATGTAGGAAAGATAACCCAAAATATTTGTAATTTAAATGACAAAACAAGACATTCACATTTATGACATTCAATAATATATTAAATAAAATAGGAAGCAGGCACGTTATCACTCAATAGGGTGTCGGGAACGTGAAAAGGACATAAAGACCAGAATGAGGTTGGGAACCAACTCCAGGTCCTCATGGCATACCTATACGCATATGAATTCACAAATGCATGGGCCACACAGAATTGCGAACCATAAAAACATCAGGACAGGCAAAATCAGAACACAAAGTCACAGTGTGGCAAAACCCCGGAACGTTGGCTATAAAGGGCAACAGGTCCATAACCCTTAGCTGGGGCATTCCAAAGGACGCGTGAGCTTCCCGCTGAAAAGGAACTGAACTCAATGAACACATGGGCCAGTCAAGTTCCTTTTATCTCACATTCATTCTGAGGAAATAACTTAAAATCAGCTTAAGCAGTGACTGCAAGGATAATCATACCCTCACTGTTCACAATAGGGGAAAAAAATACAGAAATAATTCACGTTTCTTCTAGCAATGAAAGTGTAACAGAAAACATTTTAGAAACACATCCTAACACAACGTTCGAATGAAAATGTGATAAACCAAAACTCACCTCATTACATCATTTAAAAACCACGTATAAGGATTTAGGCTAAAATGAGTCAGTTTTGCTGACTGTACATGGTTAAAGATGCAGTTGCTAAATTCACCCCTTGGAGCTGTTTGCAAAGGTGATCTGTTCTGCAAAGCGCCCTCATGGCCAGGGTTCTGCATGGGACCCAAGTCCCTCGGCACTGTGGGACTGCTCACAGGGAAACCGAATCTTGAGGTGAACACACTGGCTTTTCTGAGGGGGTGGGGAAGTCTGAGCTGTTTTACTGTCGGGTCCCTCCTTGACCCACCATGGGACAGCTCAAGTATCTCTCCTGGGAATGAGGAATCCCAGCTTGATTTTCTGGCCCCTTTACTCTGTAAAGCAATATTCTATGAAATCCCTTTTGCTTAAACTAGTCAAGCTGGGTAACCAAGTAACCAATATTGTTATCTAATTAACAGGAGAACTGGCACTCCCAGATAAGCACCCGTTTCAGGGGGCACCACTGTTGCATCTTCAAGCAAGACCAGAACCTGAGCAGACAGGAAGAGAACTACTGTGTTAGTGAGGCACTAGTGCTGGCAGACAGCGGGCCTGGCACTGTAGGTGAACTGAATGCTTCTCAATGTCTTAGTATCTGGGTTGCAGCCCTGTCTTACACTAAACATCCTTTCATGCAAGAAAACCTAAATCTTAGTGCAACAATTCAATCACACTCTGACCTGATTTTTTATTAAGATGGTGCTGTAGGTGCTGAAGAAAAAAAACATTGCTGGGATGTCAGGAGTACAAAACAATGAGCTGATACTTGTCTTCGACTCTCTCTTGTGGTTCTAAGTCAGCTCTGGTTCTTAGATTCCCCATATTTTCCTAAAACAGTTTATGGGAGCAGCCACAGCGCTCCCAAAGCACTGCCTAGAAAAGGTCCCTCTGCTTACACACATTCTAAGTTCAAGAAAGAAACTGCACACTGTAAATGATACATTCCCTGCCGAGGAGTTTTAATTCCCCACATGGGTTTTAATATTCAGAGACTGTACAGCCTTTGAGTTCTGTGGACACTGAGGTTCTACTGTAACACCAATCTACTCAGCTGCCACAGCATGAAAACAACCTCAAACAATAGGGAAATGACTGCGCTATGTTCCAACAGAATTTATTTACAAAAACAGGCTGGAGCAGATCACCTAGGCCCATGAGGCATGGTCTGCCAACACTTCCTACAGGCAGAAGACACAGTCTCCATGAACCGGACCCCATGTTGGCTGGAACACACAGGGGTCAGGGCTGGGGTCACCTCTGATAGAGTCTCTTTGGAGGCCGCACCCCTCCAGCTGGATCACTGGATTCAAAACTGCAAGCACAGGGAGAAGTCACAGACAATCCCAGGGAGTGCATGTGTCGGAACTGGGCGTCCTCGGATGCCCAGATGCGCGTGGGGAACACGACAGAGCACTGAGGCCCGCAGAGGACATCTGGTACCACAAGGGCAGAACAAACTGGACAGCTCTTCCAGCCAAGCTTTGACAGCAAGCTTTAACGTGGACTATGTCAGCCAATGAACCTTGGAAGGATTTCCTCAACTTTGGAGCAATGAAATCAACGTCTCAGAACTATCGAAACCATTTGAGCAGGACCCTCAGAACAGGCTCCATATTGGGGACCCTAGGATGACCTCGCTGGTGACCCCCATGCCCAGGTACTGACGTGGTTAGACTGCTAGGTGTAGCCCTCTCCCCTTCTCTCTGATACAGAAGACAAAAAAAAAAAGAAGGAAGCAACTGTCTCATCCACTTTCCCCCATTCCACGTGGGTATACAGCATTCTCAATTACATAAACATCAAGAACAGCATTAATTAATTATACATGTGAAGAAGATACAGTCTCCCACGCAACTGAACCTTTCCACACGTACCCCTTCTCATCAGCTGGGCTGGGCTGAGCCTCCTTCATCGGCTTCTGGGGTTTCTTCTCCTTCTGTTTCAGATACTCCTTCAACTTCTCCGCTCTATCAAGATACTCCGTGCACTTGGCCCGGATGCTCTGCTTGGCCTTGTCACCTTGTGCTTCATCTAACAAAGGAAAACAAGAGCCTCTTTAATCAGCATTTGGTATAAAAATGCTGAAATGCCTCAGCTCACGTTTTTCAACAAGCAAAGTGTCTGCTGGGGAGGCTGGCAGGCTCGTTGGTGACACAGACACCAGGGATGACCGGCGCTCTGCTATTCCTCCCCCTGCCCCCGGCACGGCTGACGTCAGCACTGAATGAGCCTTAAAGGAAAAAACTGAGCAAAGCAAGAGGATTGTACTTTGTTAATTTCCTATTCTCTCCTTCCATCTGAAAGCTGTCTGTCCAACACAGGAAATATGGATCAGAAGTGAAATGGTATTAGTAATTTCCATATCAGTTTTGAGAACATAACAAGTGTTAGAAACCTGTATGTCACACATATCTTAGCACGGTGATTTTATTATTTTAGATCTTCAGTCAGCTACTTCACTCCCCAAGTGGCTGCAATGGCCAAACCTGAGCCAATCCAAAGCCAGGAGCCTTTAACCTCCTCCGGGTCTCCCATGCGGGTGCAGGGTCCCAAGGCTTTGGGCCGTCCTCCACTGCTTTCCCAGGCCACAGGCAGGGAGCTGGATGGGAAGCGGGGACTCTGGGATGAGAACCAGTGCCCATATTGGATCCCAACATGTGCAAGGTGAGGACTTTAGCTGCCAGGCTACCACGCCGGACCTTCAGGGCTATTTTCAAAGGTAGGCTTCAGCACTGGGCACAATGCATTAGCCCTGCTTATCTAATGTGTTAATGATTCATTCTCGGTTTTGCTCTACTTTGACACAAACCTTCAAACATAAGCTTAAGATGCTTAAAGACAGGAATTTTCATTAATTCCACCCCCCCTTACTCTATCCTCAGTGCCTAGAATGGTGCCCAGCTCACAAAAACCATACAGTAACTCGTAACTCTTTGGGAAATACACGGAATATTTCCCAAACTATTTCTGAAACAATATGGTTAGAAAACGGTTATGAAGGTCACAAAATTCAGGTTCATTATCAGTAAAATAAAAAACGATTTCCGCTGATCACATGACATTTGAAGGTGCTTCGTTACACAAGCTACGAGCGCTCACATTTGTTAGCTAAGCCTGAGTGCTCAATTTATTTGGAAGAAAGTGGGGAAATTTCTGGCCAATGCACAGTTCTACATTTTCTGGTACTGCATTTCCAATTTTGTGAATGAAATGGAGTGAGGCTTTCTTTCAGTGTCCTGGTGAGAAAGCTCGCGCTCGCTTACACTTGATCACATGCAGGAAGTACTGCACGGCGTGCTGGTAGAGCTGCAGGGCTTCCTCGAAGTTCCCAGCCTTGTCTTCCTGGGAGGCCTTGCTGGCCAGATCAATGGCTTTCTGTTTGAGGAAGACAAAACAACAAGATCACAATTAAAGTAAAAATCCAAGCTTGAAATAATCACAATGAAAGGTTTTTAAATAAAAGCAACATCAAAAACAAAACAAAACAAAACCCCGCTGCTCGCTCAATCTAAATCACAGCTGCATTTTATTGTTACTTTACCAAATGCAAATTACATGATATATGGATAAACTGCCATCTGACACTATTTCACCTAGTACCAACCCTTAGTAGTCTTACATAACTTTCACTCAGCTAAAGTCAAGCTCAGGGGTACATACAAATACTGGATAATCTGAAAACTTAGAATTAAAAAGTCACTTAGGGAAACTTCAAATCTTAAAGGCTGTTGCATCTGAAACACATTAATAAAAAAATCATGAATTAAAAAAAAAATCAAATAACAAGAGAAGTCTTTTAAATAACAAAGACAATAGCCAATGCTATGGCACAGCATCCTAAACCTCTGCCTGAGGCACATCACATGGGGGTACAGATCTGAGTTCATATCCTGGGGGCTCCGCTTCAGATTCAGCTCCCTTCTTATGGCTTGGAAAAATAGCAGAGGATGCTCAAGTCCTCGGGCTCCTGCACCCATGAAGGCGATCGGGAAGAAGCTCCTGCTTCCTTCTCTTCGTGATTCTTTCAAATTAAAATAAATCCTAGGGCCCAGTGCAGTAGCCTAGCAGCTACCGGTGCCTTGCTCACACCGAGATCACATATGCATGCCGGTTCTAATCCCAGCAGCCACCTCTTTCCATTCAGCTCTCTGCTTGTGGCCTGGGAAAGCAGTCAAGGACTGCCCAAGTCCTCGGGCTCCTGTACCCAGGGAGACCGGGAAGAAGCTCCAGGTTCCAGACTTCTGGCTCCTTCTCTTTGTAACTCTTTCAAATAAAAATAAAAACAAATCTTTAAAAATATCAAAGACAAAACCTGGAAATTTAAATCTTAAGTAGCAATAGGCTACCACACAACAGAATACTGAGGGATCATTAAAATAATACCAAGAAACATTTGCAACGACACAAAAAGTGTTTACGATGAACATTTTCAAAAGCAGGATACGACTTGGCAACCCGGTGCGACTGAAACAGGAACACAGCACACGCAGGGGGCAGGTGGGCAGGCCTGCTAAGTCAGCCTCCCTGAGCTTTTATGTTCTCCTTCTTCACATCTTCTAGAAACGTCCATGATGAACAAGGACAACTGGCAGTGCCGTCATGCTTCCTAGCCAACAAGGCCGTTTCCTGAACTCCAGAGCACGCTGGAAACCATGGATGACAGCAAACCCTTGGCGCTGTCTCATCCTCCGACACCCCTCCCAGCATCTACCAGAGACTGGTTCCACATCGCAGCAGACCCCAAACCTGTGGCTGCCTCCGTCTCACAGAACCGACTCACACCAGATCACTCAACGCACTCGACATGAGACACACAGACGGCACACTGGCTGCTTACAGGAAACAGGGCAGAAGTTGTACATGGGCAGCAGAAACCCAGGGGTCTTTTGCCCTTGAATCTGCCTGGCAGCTAAGACACCCAGCCCATATCTCAGGTTTCAAGTCCCAGCCTCTGCCCCAGTCCCAGGTTTGGACATCCTGGGAAGCAGCAGGGAAAGGATCACGCAGGAACGCATCAAGCCCCTACCTCCCACGTGAGACCGACCGCATGGCCTTCCCACCCCCCAACTTCCGCCTGAGCCAGCTGGGGGCACGGCAGGGATTCAGGGCGTAGAACAGCAGAGGGCTGCTTTCTGTCTTTTACAGAAATAAAATTTTAAGTGTAACATTATTTAAATCTTTCAGGTAAAAACAGAAAATTTCCAGGATTTAGGGCTAGCGGAATCTTAGATTTCACATCAAAAGCACAATGTCTAAAAAACTAGACTTAATCAAACTTACAAATCATTACAAAAGATCCTGTTAAAAGCATGAAGAGATAATTTGCAGACTGGGAGGAATATTTGCAAAACATGTACTGAAGGCTCGGTATCTAGAATGCAAGTTAAAGAATCCAATTAGAAAATGGGCAGGGGGCCCTGCGCGGTGGCGCAAGTGGTTAAGTCCTCGCCTTGCACGCCCGGGATCCCATATGGGCGCCGGTTCTAATCCCGGCAGCCCCGCTTCCCTTCCAGCTCCCTGCCTGTGGCCTGGGAAGGCAGTTGAGGACGGCCCAAAGCTTTGGGACCCTGCACCCGCGTGGGAGACCCGGAAGAGGCTCCTGGCTTCGGATCGGCATAGTATCGGCCCGTTGCGGCTCACTTGGGGAGTGAATCATCGGATGGAAGATCTTCCTCTCTGTATCTCCTCTCTGTATATCTGCCTTTCCAATGAAAAAATAATAAAAATAAATCTTTAAAAAAAAAAAAAAAAGAAAATGGGCAGGGACCACCACGATGGCTCAGTCCTCCACCTGCATACTGGCATCCCATATGGATGCCAGTTTGCATCCTGGTTTCTCCCACTTCTCATCCAGCTCCCCGTTTACGGTCTGGGAAAAGCTGCAGAGGCTGGCCCAAGTCCCTGGGACCCTGCACATGGGAGACAGAAGCCACAGAAGACGCTCTTGGCTTCTAGCTTTAGATTGACACAGCTCCAGCTACTCTGGCCATTTGGGGAGTGAACCAGCAGATGAAGGATCTGTTTCTCCTTCTCTATGTAAATCTGCCTTTACAATAAAATAAATAAACCTTCCAAAAAAAAGAGGAAAAAGGAAATGAGCAAAAGCCGCAAACAGCTGTTGTCCCGGAGGAGCCACACAGCCGTAAATGCCAGGAAAGCCGTGTGCAAGCTCACCAGACAGCAGGAGCACAGCATCAAAACCAAGGAGACAGCAGCGTGTGTCAGGAAGGCTAAGGTTAACAGATACTGACAACATCAAATGCTGGTGAGCACAGAGCGCGTCACTCACACACTGCTAGAGGGATGTAAAAGCACAACCACTCTGGGAAGCCAGCTGGGCTTTCTGTCTACAAACTAAACTCACAACTTGCCTATGAAAACCAATGTACTACAGCGGATTTATCCCAGGAAATGGAGATTTATGTTCATATTAACACCCACACATGAATACTCAGCTGTCCTTCGGAGGCTGATCAGTTTTTTTTTTAAAGATTCATTTCTTTCTTTCGGAAAGTCAGATACACAGAGAGAAGGAGAGACAGAGAGGAAGATCTTCCATCAGATGATTCACTCCCCAAGCCGTTGCAACAGCTGGAGCTGAGCTGATCCGAAGCCAGGAGCCAGGAACTTCCTCCAGGTCTCCCATGCGGGTGCAGGATCCCAAGGTTTTGGGCCATCCTCAACTGTTTTCCCAGGCCACAAGCAGGAGCTGGATGGGAAGTGGAGCTGCCAGGATTAGAACCGGCGCCCATATGAGATTCTGGTGCGTTCAAGGTGAGGACTTTAACTGTTACGCTATGGCACCAGGCCCAGCTGATCAGTTTTAGACCATGTGCTACAGGACTGTTACCATCTGGAATCCTGAGGGAATCACACTGTGTGAAAGCCGACCCCAAAGGCTGCACACCGTAGGAGTCCATTTATTGTAATGTTCTCAGACTGACAGAATCAGAGAGAGGGAGCAGATTTGTTCTCCTGGGGACAGGGACTGTGAGCAGAAGACGAAGGGAGATGACTAGGGTTATGAAAGGGCAATAAGAGGGATCTTTATGAATGAAGTTCTGTGTCTTGACCCATGGTACCATACACATGAACCCACGCATGATACCATACACATGAACCCACGCATGGTACCATAGACAGGAACCCACGCATGATAAAACCTCACAGGAAGCACACACAAGTTAAAACTGGGAAAATATGAGTAAGAGTTGTGGAATGCACCAATGTCAATTTCCTGGTTGTGATATTGTACAACTAGTTTTACAAGATACAACTGTGTGAAAGGTACATAGGATCTCCTAGAAGTATTTCTTACAACTGTATAGGAACCTACAATTATCTCAGCATTAAATTTTCACTAAACTTAGCCTTAAACTTCAGTTTTCTTAAGGATTTACTTATTTGTATTGCAAAGTCAGATATATACAGAGGAGGAGAGACAGAGAGGAAGATCTTCTGTCTGATGATTCACTCCCCAAGTGACAGCAATTGCCAGAGCTGTATGGATCTGAACCCAGGAGCCAGGAACCTCCTCCATGTCTCCCACATGGGTGCAGGGTCCCAAAGCCCCGGGCCATCCTTGACTGCTTTCCCAGGCCACAAGTAGGGAGCTGGTTGGGAAGTGGAGCTGCCGGGATTAGAACCTGTGCCCATATGGGATCCTGGCGTTGTTTAAGGCGAGAACTTTAGCCACTAGGCCACCACGCCAGGCCCAGTCTTAAACTTTAAAACTATACACAAAACAATAAAGAGGAATGATTAAAACACTCCGAGATGGGCCCGGCGTGGTGGCGCAAGTGGTTCAAGGTCCTCGCCTTGCACGCCCGGGATCCCATATGGGCGCATTGGTCCCCAGTCCCTGTGCTAGGGCAAGTCCTCCCAGGGGTCGTCAGTGCCCCGCCGTGGCAAGGCTGCAGCCCTGTGTTCAGCTCTCCCACTCCCACAGGCTTATCCCATCCTTAGCGCTCCGTTTATTTCTCTATGTACTTCCTAGCTACATCTCACTAAGCTAAGCTGCCTGGGAACATGCTCCACCTGGAGTTCATGGGGCCTACATCTTGGCGGGCAGTTGATGGTCACACCACTGCTGAATGAGTGAAAAAAAATTCATTTTCTCAAAATCTTCCTCCCTTTGGTTAGTCCAGTTCTGTCATCTCTAGCAAATTGTCTGAGCTGGGTATTTCCACCAGGAGACAGTGTTCCTTTACCAAGTCCCTGGCACGTCCTTTCATGGCAGCAGAGCGCCATCGCCGCAGTGCCGCCGGGACTCTCCTTGCTGATGGAGACTCACGATGCTAGCCTGCAGGCCCACCTCCGTCGTCACACTGCCCGCTGCCAGCCGCAGGCACGTTCTCCCGGCTTTTTCTCATCTC